CTGTGTTTAACTACTTACCAAACACAGGCTTTTGTTATAAACTCATTTGGTACATACATGGTTTAAGAAACTTTTTGACGAGGTCATAAAATACCTAGCCTGGCCCTTGCCTTCCTACGCAGATCCGCTCAATTCCAGTTTCCGTTCTCTGCTCTGTCTTGGACTTCTCCAAGACAGAACTTCTCCAAGACAGAGACAGACTTCTTCTTGGATTTCACTGGCAGATTTTTAGCCGGGCCAATCAGAGAACGTCAATTTTCTGCGCAGTGTCTGCTTGTAGTTTATTTTACCTGGGCCAGGACTTCCGGCAAGATGGCGATGGGAGCAGACACAGTCTAAACAGCTCCTGTAAGCACATCCCTAAACTCCTTTTAAAACAAACTTACAACTTATAAACCCGACATGATTTAAAAGGGAGGGGGAAAARCAGCCTACCTAGCAGACAAAATTTAACAATGCACCAACGTCGTTTTACAGAAAGTGGGAAAACTCGTGTCCTGTTAACACGATGCTGCTAAACTTCAAGCTAGTGCAAAGGCACTTCATGCTCACGACTAAGCCAAACCGGAGGAAATGGAAATGCAACAAACAAACAAGAACAGCTTATCATCTCAAAGTAAATCTACGGCTCCATTGAAAAAAAATAAGAGGAAACCCATCTACTGAAGATAGTGCTGAAAACCCAAACACTTCAAACGTGGCTATTTTAGCTGCCATCGGAAAACTAAACAGCACGATGGAGTCTTTTGGCACTCAACAGCAACAGAACTCACTTATGATAGCAAATGTTGCCAAATCAGTTGAATTTAACTCGGTTGAAATACTGGATAATAAAACCAAGATCAAACAACTGGAAAAAGAAGTAAAACAACTGGAGGTAAAAAATGACGACCTTCGGRAAAAAAAACAGAAGAGATTGATCGTTACAAGCAACGGTGGAGTTTGAGACTCAATGGGGTAAAGGAGAAGAATCAAGAAAACACACGTCAGATCACAACGGATATCATCACCAGGATTGTACCACACTAGGCCGACAAGTTGGATTTCATCGTGGATACTGTTCAGCGTGTGGGGAGAGCGAAAGATGACCGTGCCCGACAAATCATCATCCAGTTCACCGGGAGGTTCTACAGAGATGAACTATGGAGAATCACCAAGGATCATCCTGTCTGWAAAGAGCTGGGGATTCGATTCAAAGAGGATCTCACCAAGGAAGACAGAGAGGCACGTGCTCCCTTGTGGCCAAAAAATAGAAAGAGCCAGAAAAGCAGGAATGAAAGCCGTGTTCTGAGGGCCTTATGGATACATAACTGGACAGAGACTGACTCCGTAGGTAACTAGTATTTCCCAAAGCAAGCAGAAAAATGAAGAAAGAAAAAAAGTAGAGTTGTAAGCACCTAATATGTTCTCAGGGATGTGCTATAAATGTTAAGTGACCTAAATAACTACTATTTTCAACTAGCCGTTTAGCTAGTGTGTTTTGTTTTATGTTGCAAAGTGAACTTTACTGCATTTCAGTTAATACAAGGGGACTAAGAGACATTACAAAGAGAAAAGCCTTATTTTTATTTTGCAAAGGGAAATGTGCCAACTTTATTTTTCTTCAAGAAACTCATACCAGCAATGAAGATATTACATTCTGGACTAAACAATGGGGTGACAAGGTATATTTTAGTCATGGAACTACACGATTGGCAGGAGTAGCTATTCTACTAAATAAATGACCCGGGAATGTGATTTTCCATAATGAGGATGAACAAGGCCACTGGCTGATACTGGTTGTTAGTTTGGACAGCTCAGTTATCATACTTTTCAATATATATGGATATAACAATGAAAGACAAAATAAGAAATTACTAAATACTCTGGTCTTGAAAAGTGAAAATTTAAAAAGTGTATATGCTACCTCATACAATTATTGGAGGCGATTTCAATTTAGGAGCAGATGATTTTTTTTGGATAGATACCCCTCACAGTTTACCGATTCTCATCCAAATGTCATTTTAAACAACTTTTGCTTAGAGCAAGGTCTGATCGACATATGGAGACTTCAGAATCCAGATAAAATACAGTTCTCTTGGATAAAACCTAATGTATGGGGTAAGACAACAGTCAGAATCATTGTATGTGTAAGAGTCTAAATTTGTACATGTAAGTCTATAAACATACATAAATTTGTTACAACTTTGCCACATTACAAGTACGAATCAAATTTACAAGTACAATTCTTTTAC